ACGATTATTTTAATTGAAGTTGGCTGCACGAATACCAAATAATTACGGGATATATATTATTTATTTTCTTTTTATGCATTAAGAGGGGGTGTAAACCCGATATGGGCTCCTCTTACCTTAGCGGATATGAGAAATAATGAAGAAGCAATAACTGGAAATAAAGGAAAAGAAAAAGGGAGTAAACTGTACAGAAAAGTTGTAATTGTTTTTTTCAGAAGATGAGAGATCGTCTGTAACAGGGAAAGAGAATCAATGAGCAGAAGACGATACTTCAAGCGCACGACAGTAGAGCTCCAGACTGAACACAAGCAGCATGACAGCTGCATGCAGACACCAGACAAAGACATCGGAATTCAGACACCTGAGCCTGAACGCGACCTGCAGGAGAGCTGTATTTATTTTGTAGAATCTTTGATTTCAATTATCAATTTGCCTGAGGATCCAGCCATTATGGTCAACCAAGATTAGAAATTACACGTGTTTGGCTTTCCGAAAGCCAGCTTGAACAAAATTTATGTCCTGAATTTTAATCTTTCATTTGTGACTTCTGAGGGCAGAAAATGCAGGTATCTGAATATAAAAATCTTATATGGGATCCTTGCTAACGGGAAGGAAGAAAGGAGAAGGTGGGTAACCTTACTGAAATAAAGTGATGCGGTTTTTTGCTAGTTCTGTAAACTTTTCTCTTTTGATCAAACAGCGTTTACCACAGATACAAAGGCTCGAAGAATATTCATCTCCTTGCAGAACATGAAAACAGCACATCACAGCTAGAATCTGTTTCTGCGTGCTGCTTTTCTCCAATTAAACAAATGAGTCAAGTGGATGAAGGTTTGTTTAAGCAACTAGAAAAAGAACCAATGTACTCGTAAAAAAAAGTAAAGCTGTCCCTGTACCAGGCCGTGAAGGCCCATAGGGGTTCTGAGACGTTGAGGGTCTCACATTATCTAGACAATCGGCTCAAAGATGGCGGTAAGGTTGTCAGCCTTACGCGCCGGCCGCGCTTTACTCCCCAGGAAAATTATTTAATTATTTCCTGGTACTCATTTCTGTTAGAGGCTGAGTCAACCCCAGGGCCAGGCTGGAAGGATTAGGTCAATTGAAAAAATTCCAATGACCTCATCGGGACTTGAACCCGCGACCTTCCGGCATGCACTCGTACTGAGGAAAAGTATTGAAAAGAGTGTTCGATTGTTAAGTTTCTAACATAAAGAGGGCTACATTCCGAAGCCAAAATGAAGAGATAACTTCTGTCAGCAATGGCAGTTTTCTTGGAAAATAGAATTGATGCAGACTACGAGGCGTTTCTAGACCATCATCTGAGCAGATTTCGAAATGCAAGACTCGTTGTGCCTTTGTATCATTTGTAAAAAGAATTTGAATGAATTTATAAATTTAAAGAAAAAAAGATTTTTTGCTGTCATATCTAAAGTAAAGGCTACAAAATACTGCACTCTGCATGTTAACACGATGCCAGATAGTACGAACATAGACCAATTTTCATATTACGAGTACACTGTGTAAATTCGGATGGAACTCAGTCGAAAAATTTGGCAATTTCTTTGCTACTGAAAGACATGACACTGAAACTCCTGTACCTGTGATTTTAATTACCTTAAATTACCTGGAAATTTTTATTTCCAAATGTCGGGGACAGTGCTACGACAGTATCAGCAATATGACCGAGAAATATTTAGGGGTATAACAGAAGATGGCCGGTCACCGTAGCCGAGTTGTCTAAAGCATGAATTGTCTTCGCTCGCTCGGAAGCCGGGATCGTGTTTTCGAATTCCACACAAGTTATTGACGTTTATGTTGTCCTGTGTTTAGGTAGAGGCCTTGCGACGAGCTCATCACCCGTCCAAGGAGTCCTACCGTCTGTAAAAATGATCATGAACCTGAGAAATCAGCCCTACGCTCCAAAGTGGGAGCAAGAGCAGAGGAAAATATAACAGGATAAAAGAGTCAGTTCGTTTACGTATTCCATCTCTTCTTCTGTGTACTCCTTGGATCGTGTTGGTTCATGCGCCGATGTAAGCTTCATCAACGCTAGTCCATTTTTCAAATTCATTCAATTACTTTACAATTTTTTTTCGTTGAAAACCCCATGGAAATTACGAGTATTCCATATACGTTGGAAAATGTTTATCCTAAATTATTGTTGGGTACAAGATGGTCAGCCAGAAGTGATGCTACGAGGACGCTGAAGGAGAACTATGAGAGGGGTTACTCCGTTCAGGTTTGTACTGCAGCAAACAATAATGAGACAGCGATGTTTATACTTTGGCTAACAAAATGGAAAAGTACGTATGAGCTTGCGATTTGGGATATCGTGTGAAACACATTCCTTGATAGGTTCAGTGTCAAAAATAAATATTAATAAAGGAGACGAGTAAAATCTCGACAGTAGTTGATCTCTATGGAAAATTGATGGCATTCGTCAGTTCCTTGTGATCTCCATAAGATGTGTTTGAAGGGATGAAAAAATGAAAATGGGCAGAAATTCAGAGGCTTGAAAAACCGCGGAGAGTACAGCGGAAACATTCACGTGACGAACAGGGAACTGACAAGGAAGTCCATGTAACAAGTCGGGAGAGCCTTCGTGTTAACACCTTCTTCAGGGTTTCGGATCTTTCATTGCCGAATTGAGCATAAGAAAGACCTATATATACAGCATTTGACTAATGTTTCTTTTTTTAATCCAGTTTGATTTTAAAGCAGTATTACAGTGAAAAATACAACAGATTTATTAAGATTTGGAAGATTTTTTTTTCCAACTGAAATGCGTATTTTTTGGGGTGGGAGGGGGTTATATAATTGACACAAACAAACATTTATAATCTCCTCTAAAAATGTTGAAGTACAGCCGAAAATAAAGTACTGGTAACATGTTCCCAAACTTGAAAATAGCTCTAAGGACATATTTTATGCTGACAGTAGCAAACAAAGACGGAGAATGCACGTTTTCCGTCCTGAAGCGGTTAAAATATAGATTGCGATCAAACAGAGCCCAATGCAAATGGAGTGACTTATCAGTTTTAATGACATAATCATAAGATACAAGAAAATTAAATGTTGACCAAGTAACCGAGAGTCTAGCTAGGGACAAAGCACGAAAAATCTATATAAAAGAAAAACTTTGTAATTTTGTAGTGTATTTTTCGTTTGCTTACTGACGTACTTATACATTTTTAAAGTTTGGATCTATCTAAAAAATAATAAATGTGATTTACGAAGGCATTCAACATTACATAAATAAGAAACCGTCTAAAACACACCTAAACCCACAGTATTTTTCAGTACCCTTGGGCCCCTTAGTGAACACCAGACCAGGAGCTTGCACATTTTTAAGCCACATCTGAATATAAGTGTTAATAATTCCCTGATGTATAGGCCTGTGACGTTAGGTTACTGGAAGGAAGTAACTTTGGATAATAATCAGTATACATGCAGATTGTCCTTTTGTGTGTGAGGAAAGTACAGTCCGCTGTAACCGTACTTCCCTCGTCAAAATTATATAATTAATATTATGAATTATTTATGCATTGTTTAATACCGTGAGAGACGCTCCGTCGGCGAGATACCATCCCGGGACCTTCTAGTTGTAATTCAGCTATTGTCCTCCTTAGGCTAAGGGTGCCGCTATTGTCCCTAACGCCGCCCGTTTACTCCCAGTATATCATAAACCGATGAACTGGCCGTGTGCGAGACCGGCCGGGAGGGGCTTGGATTCCTTGAAGACCGACAGAGGTTTATGGGCATCTTGAAAGATACGAATGTTGGGCAGATGTCGGGCTCGACCCTTGGATTTCTCTTGTTATTTTCTTGTTTTTCTGATGCCAACTGGGGGACTTGTAAAGAGGGGGGTCGGCTATAGGGGGCGGAGGAGGACAGCAGTTGGAAGGTAGTGAGATATGAGAGAGGTGTTTAAGAGTGGTGGTAGCTAGTCGAGGGACGGAGCGGCTACCTAGGAGAATAATGTACATATTCATCATTAGTGAAACTTTAAATTAAAACTGCCATCCACGGTGTGTTCTGGAGATCCCAGATTTATTTACCCCGAAGTGTGTTCCACTCCCATCTCCAAAGCACCCGTATCCCTGAGAGAAAGAACTCAAGCTCGAGTGACAGTCGTGGCAACTGTACGTCGGCGGACGGCTACACCGCTCTATGGCGCTCGTGCTTATGGTCTACAGAAAACACTACTAGGAAATGAAGTGGAATAGTAATCAGTATATGTGCACTGTTGACGCACCATTGTATGGACATGTAGTGACCAAAGTACTGCATTAATCATTCACATTTTCCTATATATATTTGCATGTTTAACGTCAGTCGGCTTTTAACTGATAAGTGAAGCAGCATGTCACTCACAGGAAAGCTGCAATTGAACTGTCACGCACCTTTTTAGTTATCATTTCCGTGTATTGCTCATTGATAGTTTGAAACTTATCATATTAAATGATATGTATTCATATTTTCAGAATGATTAGGCCTACAACATGTACTGACGTATTGCCTGCTGCAATTCCACGTATTGTGATGACGACAGTCCATATAGTAAGGCTACTCATTGGGGGGGGGACACAATATCACACAGGAATCACAATTACAACAGAGTGTCAGAGTTACTTGACGACTGGCGGTTTATTTCCAATCAGTTCGTCTTGTTTGGCTAGCCCCTTGAGACTCACGACCAGCATTTTTTAACTGAACACTTTCGATTATAGCCCGTACGTAACATCCTCTCTGACGAGAGAATGGGTTTGTCGTTTACAACTGCTACTGGACCTCACCAGCATAGTCATTCTTGGGCCCAAGTCCCGCGGGATTCATTACATGTCTTGCTGTCTCAAATTGGATACTCTCCTAACCTCGAGGGTCAGGTCCTCTTATATACATCCCCCCAGCAAAAGGGTGGACCAGTTATATTTCCAGGCACTGGGTTCCCTTTCATCTCCTCCTACGACTCGCAGGGCTACGGTAAAGTATTCGAACACGCCTCCACGGCGATACGTATCCTAACATTTGAACGATACAGATAATATTAGCATGGCCCATATGCGCAAGGATGAGACGCAACTCAAACAACTCGACTGACCTTGCTTATAACATTTCTACACGAACCATATAGAAAATTCTGTTTCAATTGTTACAGCCCAATATCTCGACCGATGCATGCGTATCTGCTGCCCCGAAAACTGTTAACCCAGAAGCAACCTAGCCCGGTTACTGTTGACGTGTTTACCGGCCGTTACCAAACAAAGCATGTTACTTCTCGCGATCGTTGCATAGCAACAGCTATATACGCTACAATATACATACCAGGTTTCATGATGTCTGGTACAGGCATTCTAACAATATTGGAATTATATATCAGAAATCTGAGAAGCTGTAATATTGGAATTACTGATAGGAGGGATTTATGAATTACATCATTAAGATGGGCTCAGGTGCCATGACATACAAACAAATTTTCAGAAAGACTGGTTCAGACATTGAAAATTTAGTGAGAAGTTACACATGCAGACACACACACATACACACACGATTAAGGTGATCTCATAAGACCACTTTGATTTCTTAAAAACAAGGAAAGTAGAGTGAAAATACAGAAGCTCGTTTAGGCGTGAATAAGTAGGTAGATCCAGAGGAAAAAAACAGAAAAAACTAAGTAAATGTTAATGCCTCGTCACCAGAATACATGGCAAAAATCATACCATAAAGACATATTATGTCCTATGAAACGCATAAAATTTCAAATATTGAGAATGACTGTAACAACTCGGAAATGCATTGAGGAACAAAATGAGACCAGATTACATCCGGGGAAGGCTCGCTACCATTCAGTTAGGAATATTCATCTTCCCATCTGCTATCCAAAGTAGGAAAGATTAAAATTAAGACTATAATTTTCCTTTAATTTTAATTAAGAACTTCATAATGTATATTCCTTGACAAATATTGAAAGAACGGTCAAATCAAGGAAGATGAGTGGTTAAGGCATGTGGCACGAATGGGAGCAGAGGCGAAAGTATGCAAATTTTCTATAGGAAAACCCTGAAGGAAAGAGATCACTAGGAAGACATAGACGTAGTGAAGTGGGTTACTTAAAATTTATTCTCAAATGATTGGATGGGGATGTGTAATAGATTCATTGGATAGAAATCAGTGGTGGACTCTGGAAAATATGGTATGAATATTTGGGCATCATATCATTCTGAGATTTTCTTAAATAGCTGAGCAACTATTAGCTTCTCAAAAACGATTCATCTCTATGAAATCTGTTAGTTGGTTAGTTCGATAATTAGTTAGGTACCTAGATTTTGTTAGTTTGTTGGACAATTTATTGATGAGTTAGTTGGTTCATTGGTCTGTTATTTAGTTGATTAGATTGTTAGTTGTTTGGCTGGTAAGGTAGTTTATTAGTTAGTTATCTATCCAGCTAGATAACTAGTTAGTTAGCGTCCATTGTTTATCTTCCGTCAAAATTGCAACACTTTTACATTCTACACTTCAACACTACACGTTTCGGCCCCAAACGGCCATCTTCAGGTGTTTTTATGTTACAGATATTTTACTAAAACTGTGTTAAAAACTGCTACACTGTTTTAATTCGTGTTAAAATCACACCCTGTAGTCTTCTTTTTAAGTAAACGAGATAAAATCCTTTAAAATTTCTGTTGCATATTATTTCACTTCACCCGGGGTGTCGTCATTTTCGTAAATGTATCAAAGTGTTTTTCTCGGCAGCTTGCTCCTCACGTTCGTGGTCTACTTTCAGTTTCTGACTAGTCTAGTAAAGACAACGCCACACGCTGTGGAGGAAGCGCACACAAACCAGGAGCATATGGCAGTCAAAAACTGAAAGTAGACCACGAAGGTGAGGGGCAAGCTACCGAGAAAAACACCTTGATACATTTACGAAAATGACGACGGCCCGGGTGAGGTGAAATAATATGCAATAGAAATTTTAAAGGATTTTATCTCGTTTTACTTAAAAATAAGATCACAGCGTGTGATTTTAACACGAATTAAAACAGTGCAGCAGTTTTTAACAGTTTTAGTAAAATATCCGTAACATAAAAACACCTGAAGATGGCCGTTTGGGGCCGAAACATGTAGTGTTGAAGAGTAGAATGTGAAAGTGTTGCAATTTTGAAGGAAGATAAACAATGGACGCTAATTTGAACAATTGCAACGGGATGCTGAAATGCAGAATCATAACTAGTTAATTTATTAGTTAGTTAGCTAGTTAATTGGTTAGCTGGTTTTTTGTCAGAGGTATGTAATTTTCAGGTCTGTGAAATGGAATCTGAATATACGTTAGATATCCATTTATGGCTGCGCTTCGACATAAGATTTTTCTGTGATTTAACGCTACGATTGCTAGCCTTCATATAGCCGTGACGTATCTATTGCTGAAACGCTTTGGAATTACCCAAAGGAATACATAAACATACTTTATGGAAAATGATGTAACTTACAATGGTGATGTTTTATTAAGTCAAACTCGAAAGTTTCTTGTTGGAAACCTGGAACCATTCTTAAAAAATTGCGAATGTCCTTTGACGCTCTACTTCATATACATTAAAAGTGAGAGGTCGAGTTTGATTACTTATCACAAACATTTTGTCCTAGAAAATTAAATAAAATAGACATACTGTTGAAACGTCAACAGTTCTCAATTCTTTTCCCGACAAAATGGTGGTGTGGGATGTCGGGTTCCGGTACTCGGAGAGACAACCACATAAATTTGTAAAACATATATTTATTGCTGTTAGAAGAAGTGTATACAGACGAGCAGGCAAGCAGAGTGTGCGATAACCGGTCAGGTATTGCGGAGACCTGGAAAGGGCCGTAATTCTAAAACAGGACACGTCTGGTGAATACCGGCGCAGCGGTCTTGCTTTCGTCTGCAGCCGGGTGACTGCGAGCCGGCCGTAGGACGGTAAGGGCTGGCAGTGGGCTTCCCAAGGGTCTAGGTGACCGCTGTCGGAGTCGGCTGACAGTGTTGCTGCTGTGACAGTGGCTGTTACCACAGAAGCTATTGTTGTGTGCGCTCCAGATGAGCTTTCTCTAGGCAGCAGTAGCTCCGACCATTTCGACGACTCCGACTGACTGACTTACGCGTCGGAGTTCCGAATCTTTATTCGTTGTCGCTAGCGACCCTAGCGACGCCCGACCCGAACACAATAACTGAAACCTATACAACGATAAATACTCTCTCCTTATTCTTCATTCCCCGACACAATTTATCACAGATCATACTACGGTATTTATCGTGTACTTCGACTGAAAGTAGCTTAACCAACTATTTCTATGAGTGCAAAAATACAGATCACCATACATTACCAACCTCGGCGGACTCATCCAAATGTGGTGCCATCTACCAAACGAATTAAGTAAGTAATCTGAGGAGGTAATCCGTGACTTGGAGTTACTGGTTCTGCCGCTAGAACCTCTAGAGTTACTGCATTGGGAAGTTGTGTTTTGCTTCGTTGGTCACAATGGTCAACAATGCGTCTTGGAGGTCTTGGAATTCAGAAGACGTTGGTATGCTTTTGTGTGTACAGCTGAACTATTCCGTTGTCATATAGTACAGTGTGCGCCAAAAATTACAGAACTGAAACTCGCGCATTCCGTCTTCCCAGTAGTGAAAAGGAAATTGTGTTGTGCCGTTGTTGAAAATGGGTCTCTCGACGGAGGAAAAAATATTCATAGTTGAGTACTATTTCCGCTCATACGGAAGTGGTCGTGAAGGGGGACCGAGTTTGAAAAAGGTGACAGAACAATTCCAAGAGAAATTTAATAAGACGGCACCAAGTAACACAGTTATGCTGTCTATTGTTACGAAATTTCGCCGTTCTGGTAGCGTACTGTGTCAACGGAAGGGGAAGTCTGGTCGACCAGTAACTGTTTCGACAGAAGAGAATCATGCACTTGTTCTTCAGGAGGTGCTGCATTCGCCCCGACAAAGTCTACGACGAACGGCCTTGAAACTAAACCTCAGCGATACGTCCCTTCGCCGATTGTTTAAGGCAGTGGCGTGCGGTACCATTTTTGTTAAGGGAAGCAGTGGTATCAAATAAACGAACTGATAGCAATTAACTCCAGAAGCATGAACCACCTCATTGTCAACATGTCTTATGTTCATATACCATCTGTTGGTCCAAGTCCGATCTGTGCTGCTTGAAATTTTTCTTACAGTAGAAATAACTCTTCTGTTCTGTCACAGTGAAGTCATTTTTCACTGACTTTGGAGTGGAAAGGTTTAATTTTGTAATTCTATATGGATGTACTCTGCACAAACATTAAATGATGATTGAAAATGCAGTAGAACCACAACATGAAGGAGTATAGGTTGAAATTAAACTGTATGTACTTTTATATGCTGGGGAGAAATGTGTGAAGTCCAGAAAAGGAAATGATACC